CCCCCCCCCCCCCCCCCCCTGCCTCTCCCCCTCATAAATCCTGAGACGCCTAAGCCACTGCAGCCAGAGTCAGGTCGTGTTTCCAAGCAAGAACGGAGCTCCTTCCGAGGTGTCGGTATCCATGAGTCGAACCTGGGCTTCTACTACCAGAAATACTTTAAGAGCCTCGGCTGTGGAAGGATCTGCAATTCGCGAGAAACTTGAAGGGTAGTAGGCTTATGTAGGAATTACAAGGGCGTGGCCAGCCGGTCGAGTGGTCTCCGTAGAAGGTTCAGCCCGAGAGTTTTGCTCCAGTGCCAGCAAGTCGGGCTTGTTGCTTCAGGAAGAGCCTCCTCCCGAAACAATATGGCATGAACACCAACGTGGAGCTAATTGAGAAGTTGGCGAAGGAGATGAGATTGACATGTCTTGGAATCGACGTCCTCTCAGGCCTTTGCGTAGTAAGCGCAGTAGCCCTTTGCAGTGCGCCGTCCTTGCACCAGCATGCCCTTCGTGAGTGTGGGCACAGTGGGCACTCGATCTGCAGCGTTTTGCACCGGACAGCCGTCCATCGTCCAAAGCGCCTACAGCGCATTCGTAGCGAAACTCACATTTGCCACAGGTTTTGCTGGAAGACCCAGAGCAAAAGACTGTTGTGTGGCAGTCCTCCCAACACTGGAAGCCAGGACACCGTGGACTTGGCTGCAGACACGCAGGTCCTGACCAGCAAGCGCACGCAGGAGGCCAGTTGGTACTAGTACTGTAAGACATTCTGCGGACGTCTTCAAGTAGGCTTGTGGCAGGAACATCGCGCGCAAGTTCCCGGAAACACTTGCCGGATCTAATGCCAGAGCGATCCGAGCGTGCACATGCGTTCGTCTTGGCAGGAGCTAGGTGACTTCAGCATCCTCGTCAAGCTCACAGAGGCCCCAACGCTGGAGCCTGCAACGTGAAATCCCTGCTTCGCCGTCGGATGCTGTGCTTATGGGCTCCGACTTATCATGGCATGAGTATGCCCAAACACCCGCGGCCCGCAGAAATTCTGGTCACTCCTTGCTCTTCAGGCCGCGCGGCGAGACAGGCAAAGAAAACTCGACTCAGGCAAGGACCCAAAGTTAGCAAGCTACCCAAACGGGGCGAGTTTAAAAGCTTATAGTAGGTCATTGGAGCAAGTGTGCCCTCCGTGCGCCTGTCGAGACGGTGGGAGCACGGGTCGGATCACCCTATGTCCTCTTTGTCTGATGTCCAGGCGATGAGTCCGTGAGGCTTCAACTGGACGTCCAGGCGCACATGCCGCCTCCGCCACCTCAGCAGCAGATGGCCACCTGGCTCATTGAGGTGAGGGTCACAAAAAGTTTTGAAAGGGCCTGTTTCATTGTAGGATATTCATCGAGGTTGTATAGCACTGTTTCATTGGTTCAGCGGTCTCCAAGAAGTGAACTGCAGTCCCATCGGCAGCTGAGGTACCGCACTACCAGGGGGGCGGCGGCGGAGGACTGAGCTCTGGACGTGTTCTGTTCTGAAGAAGCGATCATTGTGCATCTTGTGGGATTTTTGAACTGCAGCACATAGGCGACTCTGTGCTACATGGTGGGGTACAGACCTGACAGAGGAGGTGGCTTCAAGGGCTACGGAAACAACTATGGTATGGACAAAGGAGGCACGCAGTCATGCGCAAAACCTTCAGCCCCATGCTTCCTGAAATCGTTGAGACTGCCTCGCGAACAGTGTTGCGTGATGCCTTACACGTCTCTACTTCCTTTCAGCACATGGAAACGTTGCCTCAGCCGAATCGGAATCGCCCCGTCAGGCTACAAGGGGGATAAAGGCGGCTTCAAGGGCTACAAAGGACATCTGCCAGCTGCACCACTTACTGCGTCGGTTTCGCTCTGCTGTTGTTGGACAGATCCCAAATCTGCCAGCGTATTTCCTTATGACGCAGAATACACGATTTGGTCGATCAGCCATAGTTGTTGCAGTGCAAGTTCGCCGCGGTTGCTTCAGCTTTTTTGCAGGGTTTCTCCGCAGGCCTTCGAGGTTCAGGGCAAGTTTAAGGTCTATACAGCTTCAGATCTCAGAAAGATCAGAAACGAGGGTGCGCAGGACTGAGGTCATGTCTGGTTGCTTCGCAGGAGACCGAGGATTCAAGGGCGGCTTCAAGGGGGATGGAGGCTGGATCCACGTCGACGGTACAACATGGCAAGATGAGGGCGAGAGGAGGAATGATGAGAACATTAAGATGATTGTCATCATGCCGGCATCGGCAGTTGCGCAAGAGTGACCTCCAGGGTGAGAATGAAAAGTTGACGGCTGCCGTTAATCTGATGATGCTGATGCTGATGATGAGGACGAGGAGGTGCAGGGCAATGGCATGCACACCCCTTTGCCGTTGTTGAAACCCTCCAAAAACCCATCCCCGTATTCAGCCGCTACCTTGCAGGGAGACAGCCGCGTTTGACATACCTCACGCAGCACTCCAAACAGGCTATGGCAAAGACTTCGGCAAGGACGGCTACCATCGTGCGTTCGACAAAGGCAGGGAGGTTTTCGTTTTTTTATGTCAATATTGAGATCCAGTGTTCCTAGTTGCTCAAAGTTGTAGAGGTAGGTTGAGTTAGGCACCTTTTCTCTGATCATGGGTCCATGCCGGTAGCATGCTCTCTGCCACTCTGCTCTGATCGCTTGTTTCTGCGAAGGCAAGAAGGGCGGCAGCTTGGCCGAACAAGGCAGTTAGGTTCGAATATATTTGACACACAGTGCGGGTTGCCATCTGGAGTTCGCCTGTCACGCCAAAGCTGCCTCAGCTCTAGTTGATGCGAATTTGGAGTTCAGGTGTGGGTATGTGCGATGACCACCCGGGGCCTCTTGAGCCAACTGAGGCGACAACAAGGGTTATGGGAAGAAGGGCAAGGATGGAAAGTCCGGCAAAGGACTTTCTGCTCTGTGAGCTGGGCCAGCTGGGCCTCTGCATCCATAGCCGATGCTTTGCAGCGTAGATCCAGCCCCAGCAGGATACTGAAGTGGTTGCTGCGAGCGGTCATGGACACGAACAGCGAAAGCGGAGCGTCCAGACGGCAGTTAACTAATACGCCCAACTCACTCGACTTGGCTAGTCAGCTAGTCCTGCAGGGTCGAAAGAACTCAAGGAACTGAAAGAGAACCGAGCAGTGCTGCACCGAGGTCGCCCGGCGCCAGCCCCCGTCGTCTGGGAGTTTTGTGCGCGGGCGCCGGTGGGAGCCGAGCTCAGTACGCTGCTGCCACGCTGCTGCTCGAGGCCTCGTGAAAGCAAGAGATCTAAAACTTGGCCAGGCCCTATCAAGAAAGATAGTCGGGTTCATCACCTCGAACTTCAGGCAGCTAGACACATTTCATGCCGGATGAATGAGGTCTTAACAGAATCTACTCTCGAAGCATGGCGAAAGCAGCACATAAGGCAGGCAACCGATTGTATGCTCTGACAGAGGGCCGACGCGTTCGGCTAGTTGTTATTGGTCTGCAGCTTGGCATGCGGGCGCTTGCATCTGACAAAAAGGCTGCACATGAATTTTGGCCGTTTGCAGCTGCAAGTCGAAGCTGAGCCCTCGAGGAGCCAAGCGTTTTTTTGCCCCCCGTATCTTTCGCAGCACCGGTTCAAAGCCCTGGCTCGGAGCTCTTGGAGAGCAGCGGAAATGGCAGGCCAGTGCAGGTTTCTGCCTTCACCGACACCTCCCAGCAAGTCTTCAGCAGCTCCAGTCACTGGTCGGAGCTTCCGTTGTGGTTTCTGTGTCAATGTGATACTAGTAGCAAGCTGCCCACTTGCCAAGCTTGGCTCTGAAGCTCTCTTGATCTACTTGGGCTGCAGGTGTGCAGCAGGACTCTGCCATCGAGTATTTGCTGGCCCTCCAGGCATTGGCAGCTGTCGGTCAAGAGGTCAAAGCATCGCACTCCAGAGACCTCCAATCTCGGCTCTTGTGGACGTATGCCCTTGAGATGCGGGGTTCTTGAGCTTGTTGATAGAAGTACTCTTCAGGCTGGTAGCCGGGCCAGTAAGTCAAATCTATCCTCAATTACACTCCGTGCACAATGACAACCGGATCATGAACCTCTTCCAAGCAATGCTTCTTGCTGTGAATGTCATTGGCGTTCTGCCTGATACGTCGGCCTCCCGCAGTCGTTTCAGTCCCTGTCCTTCCAAAGAAGGAGCAGGGACGCCTGCAGTGGCCAGGGTAAACCCAAGATGTACAGGACTAAAACGGGGTCATCATGGCTTTCCCAACCTCATTTCCGCACATCAGGTAAGTCAGTGTTCGTTAAGAGGTTGCTGCCTCTGATGGGACAGTGATATTAGCATTCTACCACCAGTAGCAGTCCATTAGTCATGTCACGGACCATGAATCATGGTTTGAAGGGTTCGGGAACAGCTTTGCGACGAGACTTGCTTCCCTTTGGCATGGACCGCTCGACACCAACGTTGAGACATGCGGGCACACTGGCAACAGATGCTGGGCGCTTTGCGTGCCTTCGGCCGATCACGTAAGCTTTGCAAGTACAAACGATGCCTGTGGTCGCATATGCGGTTTATGGCCTTGGGCCTATGTCCACGCGGGCCAAACTGGATTTCATGGTCGGTGCCGCTCCGTTAAGTCTGTATTTAAAGGTACTTCTCTTCATTATAGTTCGTCAGTGCATGACCGAAACAGCCTCAAACTGCCGCACCTCTCGGTGATTATATCCCTCACGGGGTCCAGGAATGCCCGGACCACAACTCAGAACAGATCTTTCAACGTAGAGGTCCTAAATCCCGAACGTCATACCCTCACACCCTGAACTTTAGCAAAATGCCCAGCTGGAACCGCTTTCCAGATCTCAGCGAACGGAAGAGGGACGTTTAAAAGCACCCTAGTTGATGTTGGATGGTTTGTGGGTGGGCGCAGTTCTATTTCAATAGCGTCGCCAAGACCCGGCTTCATGAAGCCTTGAAGCCTTGCCTGACGATAGCGAGTGCGAGAGTCCTCAAACCTACTAAAGTTTTAACCCTACGGCCGAAAGCCATCAAGAGGCGAAACACAGCCCTGAAAACCCTACCCAGGGTTATCGCCTCATCCCCTCGAGGAAAGTTGAGGCACAGCTGCCCTCCCAAGTGCCCTCCGCGGACGCCTGGCAGCTGCAAGCCGCCATCCGCACGGAGCTCGACAGGCCGAGCTGCGGGCTTTGAAGCTGTGGTTTTTACGTTAAAAGTTAAAAGTTTAAAAAACAGATAAGCCCTGGTTTCTATCAGGGTTTCGTAGGCTTATTTGGGAAGTTAATGTTACTTGAAAGATCAGGGTCAGGGACGTAGTGAGGAAAGGTGGTTTTAAGATGCAGCTAAGTCGGCTCAAAACCGAACGTAATACCCCCACTAAGCTGAGTGCAGATCCCTGGGCCCTATTGACCTATTGCACTATATAATCCTTATAAGGAGATCCGAGGGCTCATTCACCAAGGGGTCTGCATTGCTTAGAATCCCAATCACAAGCTTCACTTTGATCCGGCTCCGGGTGTTGCAGGCTTTTGAGGCTTCAGGGTTACATTCCTTCTGTAAGGATACCACTATTCAGGTTTCGGTAGTATCAGGTTCAGGGTCGTAGGGCCAAAGGGATTTAGTCGTTTTAAGGTTCATAGTTTGTGAGTTTAGGTTGAGGCGAGGCTCCTTCACACGCTGACCGCCAGGCTGCACAACAACACGAAGATCATATCGCTAGGACGCGCCTGTCACCCTAAACCATAAACCCCCCAGATCCTAAAGACTCCCTGTGTAGCTTGCCGACCCCCACAAGCTACTTCCCTGCCTCCGCCTTGCAGAGGCAGACGCGCCAACTGGAAGAGACGCTCTCCAAGCAGGCCCGGCCACGTAGGAACGAAGAGAGGTCCAGGGTTCCCGGCCCCAAGCTCCATCTCGAGACATCAGTTTACTCTTAAGAACAGTATAGAGATGAGTGAAACCAACACCTCATACTGATACTCCAATGGAGCTATGACGGAAGCCTTCAGATCGGAGCTGTGAGGCCAAAGTGGCCTTGGAGAAGCACAGCCAGGAGGCCGCGTGGGTTCAGCTTACAAGCGTGCCGCACATGAGATCTGAGAGCCTTGATTGTGAGTTTGGTGATTCCTAGCTCGCACCTGCTGCCGTCAGTCTTTGGCCCACCTTTTACCCACCAATCCTCAAAGACGTAGGAAGCAAAAGCCACTGAAACCAAGGGGTGCAAAGCCTGGGGTGTGGGTGAAGATCTTGCCCTCGAACTGCAGCGAAAAGGTGCAGGGCGTTGCGGCAGCTTGGCAGCTCGTCGCGCGAGCACTGGGCGAGCAGCTCCAGGCGAGACTGTGGGGTTTACAGTTCAGGATTCAGGATTTTGTTGGAGTTGGGTTCAGGGTTTGCCTGGTTTTAAGTCCAGGGGCCATCAGGTCAAGGTGCTACTTTTCGGGGCTGGTTATGCGCAGCAGAGCAACTTCAACTTCAGCAGGCCCTATGAGATTGTGGATGAAGTGAGGATGTAGGGAGGGTTTTCCCAAGGAAAACGATCCACTCGCATGAGTCGCTCTCAGTCGAGCGATGTAACACCGACTTCTGCCTCGAACAGATTGACATGCCTTTTTTTGAGAGACTGCGAAACTTCTGCAGGTGAGAAGATGCAAGCTCCGGAGGATACCTTTCCCCAAGCCTTACTTAGGGTTTTGTTACCGGGGGTACTCAAGGCCCGAGTGAATCACTGACGACTCTTTCTGTGAGGCTGGCTTCAGGTCGACGCAGCGGAGCTGCCAGGCACATGCGTGCGAAGCGGCACATCTCCAGTGGGCATCTTCCTGGGTGCACACAACACACAACATACGTAGCCTTTGAGATATCGTGGCAGTGCTCTGCCAACGGCGCTTTGTCGGTTCAGAAAGGCATTCCAAGGTAATTGAACCTGTCCATGCCATGAGAGGAGCAGGCAGAGCGTCTGGAGCTCTTAGAAGCGTATCTCCGCCGCACGCTGCAGGAGGGGCTCGCCAGGAAGCCATGTCTGATCATGTTGCGCTTCGCGCTTTCCCCAGCCTTACCCTCATCGCCCAACCTGGACCTAGCCTTCAACCTCGGCGATGCTTAGATGCTTCCTGGCTCAAAGACCGGGTTGCGAGGAGTCAGAGGAGAGGGAGGCCAATCGCCGCCAAGAGGCGTGGTCTTTCTTCAGCGGGACAGGTTTCTACTTGCAACCAGCGGTACAAAGGAATACCGAAAGAGATCCAAAGCTTCCTGGCAGGCCCCAGTAGACTTCTCGGCAGCGTGGTAAGCTAAGCTTCGAGCTGAATCCTGCCGAAGGTGCAGGGGGTCGGTGACGCCTGGCAGACCCTTGCGAGGACCATCGGCGATCAGCTGGGTCAGGTCGGAACCTCGTAGTATTTTTGGGGCTTAGCTTCTTTGAGGTCAGGTCGGAACTTCGTAGTATTTTTCGGGCTTAGCTTCTTTGAGGTCAGGTCAGGTTGGCAGTGATTGTCGTCGTGGATTCTTGCTCGTTAGGATGCAGTGCTGCTCTGAATGCAGATCTCTGTTGAGGCACGGCGGTCTGAGCAAAAAGCCTGTGCACCACATTTCGAGGTGCAGCGCCTGGGGCATCGGCTTGAGGCTGGCATGCAGGAGCTCTCCGACAACTTCGAGAAAGGCTTCCCGGAGCTTGAAATGCCTGTATCGCTTGTTTCAACTGCCACAAAAGCCATGCTCACCACTGACACCGCAAAATCTGGTTCGCCTGCTGCTTCACTCTCAGGTGTTGTGCATGAGCACGCCTCGTGTAATAGGCATGGGGTCCTTGCAAAGAGCCACAGTCCTCTGCCCAACATGCTCAACGCTGCTGCCCAATGCGCTTTCCGTTTTAGCCGCTTCCGCCGTGTAAGACTGCTCATCGCTTGGCGCTGAACGGGCTGAACCACCTGCCACTGCCACCTGCACTTAGCACCTGAGGTCCTTTTAATTGCTACAAGCCATACATCGGCCGACATTCTCTTGCGTGCACTTTGGGACCTGGTCCGCTGAAGCAGCTACACTTGAGGAGTCCTGTCGCAAGTATTCTGCCACCAACGAAGTGCTTGAACGTTCGGGGCGACATCTTTGGATCCTTCCGCAAGGTGCCCCACGGTCGCCACGACGCCTGAAGTCGCAGCCCACCTCACCAAAGCCGCACAGCGGGAGTGGAGGGTGGTTGAGGGAGACTCAGCTTGAGGCTTCGAGTTGTGTGTCATCCTTGCCTCCTGTTGCACCGTGTTTGTCGGGGAAGGGGTCGAAAAAGCTGCGGAAGTTAACGAGCCTTTTTTGACTTCTTCTAGAGCAACCACACATAATCCACCATGCCAGGGCATCCAGCATCGAAGCCGCCGAGCCCACGATCCTTGGATCGAATCCTTATGACTTTTCAGTTCCATTCCTCAAGCCCCAAACAGGTCTCGTGACCTTGGGTACCCTTTTGCAACTGGTCGGAGTGGGCTTGTCTCAGATACATCCCGGGAGGCAACTGGACGCGCAGGCAAAGTATATGCATCCTCTTTGGCCACACAGTCTGCCTGACTCCAGGTTCATGGCCCGATAACTGAGAAAATGAGAATCATGCACCACTTTGGCTGCTGCAGGTCATTTTGTCTTTTCCATTCTTTTCCTGTGCATGTCCATGCACTATGCATGTGTTAAGAAAGCAAGTGCAAGGCAAGACATGTGGGCATGAAGGCAGAATTGTATGAGTGTGTGTGTGTGTGTATGTGTGTGTACGCAAGTATGGATGTTGGAGCTTTGCCTGTGCCTGTGCAGGTGTCTGTGGCATTTCGATGTTTCTCTCTGTCAATCTTTCCTGTCCTTGCGGACGCACGTAGGCATTCTTGTCATGAGCGACGCTGCCTAGTAG